CGTGTGTGTGTGTGTGTGTGTGTATGTGTGTGTGTGTGTAAACCAATATCCCATCCTTCGAAATAAGAAGCAAAATCTCCCATTACATTGTGCAGCAAAAAAAAAGCTGAACACCGGCAGACCAAGCCCTTTGATAGACGTTTTTAAATAAAATCCACAAAAAGTGTGTTTTAAATGGATTTAAAAAAAGGTGATGAGTAGAAAATAAAACGTTCGATAGAAAATTGCTGAACGAGTGGTAAAAAAATTACGTCGATTTCTTAAATTTCAGTATGTAGACGAGCACTAGACTTCCAGATATCACCAAAATGTCACGTTTTATAATAAACTTTTTGAAAACATTTGAACACAGACATCGTACAAACATAGGACAATGTAATTCTCACAAATTTCCGTTTGTCAATTTTCGGCTTCTTTTTATAGCGTTAAGTGCGTTATTAGAATCTATTTTGTTTTGTTGTTCTGTACTGTAGATAAATTCATTATACAATATGGAAACATTACTTACGCATTGAATCATAGTCCATACTTTACCAGTTGACAAGCTAAAAAGCGATGGCCATTGAATTATATTATACGGGGTGCCCATTGCGGATGGGATCGGGTCGGGTCGGGTCGGGTCGGGTCGGAGGCGATCCCCCCATCGTCGGCTGAAAACAAACGTATTTGTTTTTAAGTCGGCGAGTCGGGCACGATTGGCTTGTGCCAGAATAGCTGCTTTGCGCCCTCAATGTGGCTAGAAAACCGCCCCGACCAGACCTGATCCCCCAATGGCCACCCCGAATAAACAGCTACAAAACCAACAAAATGAAACGCTATTTAGAGTTGACAATGATACTCTATACAGCGACAAAGCACAGCTGATTAAAACCTGCAAATTCTTTGCCATATCGACAGACCGAAGGGCTAGAACCCAAATGGTGGCTGGATCGGAAAAGTAAAAAGTAAAAGTAAAGAGTTGACAATGAGGAAGTCTTTCGGTAGGGATAATGATACTTGGCCATTCATTTCCTTTAGGTTTATTCCATTTATCAGTTCTTCGTGGATTTGAAGAAATACATGTAGAATATCATATATTACTGAAATTCTGGCTCGAATGCTTTATCATTTCCAATTAAAGGACAGTGTAACACCTAGTTAATGGTAAACTGTCTCACCAAAAAAGAAATCAAGATAGAATTCCGGTTGTTTCTATAATATGGTTTCCATCACAAAACATCAGCCGGAGTCTTATATGTCACGTGAAAATTAGACCAATATGAATGTCTGCCTTTTTAGAGATTTTCTGATCCATCCTTATCTATTTAAAAATGAAATAAGGCCATTCAATTTCTATGCGTGTCGCGTTCCGAACACGACGGTATTATAAATTGTAATAGCAAAACAGACATGTATCTTTGACTGCAAAATCGTATCCAATTAGACTGCTCATGGGAGCAACAGGAAGCCTGTGGAGGGATCACATACATAGACCGGGTAAAATATCAACCCTGTAAGCAAACAGAGCCATACTAAGATTTAAAAAATGAAGCATCATAATATTATTTGTGACAAAAGCTTCTGAGAGAACAGATCTGGATCTTAATTCGAAAAACGGACACTGACCCCATAATTAATTCAAACTAACACGTATGCTTTATTCCCTGGATAACGTCTTACATTCATTCCGCCTTATGGACTCTTTAGCTTTAAGGTCAGAAGAAAAAATCAATCAGATTTACTAACGGAGTTGGACGCGGTACACTTATTCAATTTCCTTAGTCTTGAACGGTATCAAACACGATGCAATACGACGCTTAAGTGCGTATCACCTTTGCACTTGGAACTTCCTTTTTGAATCTGTAGCAGTTTGATTGTTCGATCACATTGTTAGGCTAATTCACTAGAACGCACATGTAAGTAAGTAAGTAAGTAAGTAAGTAAGTAAGTAAGTAAGTAAGTAAGTAAGTAAGTTTATTCAGTGTTTAACGCCACTGGCCCACATCACATCGCACAAAACATTCATTTGATAAAAAAAATTGTTTCCATAATGAACAGGTAAAGGTTGTGCACATATCTCTTATCATGAGTCAAACATTGCATATTTCTGTCACAGCGCTGAGTCAGGCTGGGAGGAATGAACAATTTCCTTTGATGGACAAAGCGTGAAAAATAGAAAATAAAGTGAAATTCATCTTCAATTTCATGAGTGTTACACCTCTCCCATAAGGGTTAATTAGTTAATTTCCACCGATAGAGATTGCTATTTAGTGGAAGGCTATGAGTTTTTAACAAAGCTATGACTCTTCTGTTCCAATACCGTATTCAGCTGTTTCTTGAAACAGAATTGTAAGAGAGAATAAATTATACTTGCGACAGACTTCTTCCTCTATGTTCTGCACAGAATGATCAACAAATCTACTTTTTACTCCACTGAGAAAGAGTCTAGTGCTTCCAACAATTTGAGAAAACCAGGCATATAAAAAAACCCAGGGAAAATAATAGGTTTTTAACTTCCGAGGCCCAGTTGACTCTTCCCAGTTCACAGGAACAATACAATTGCATGTAACATTTCTTTGAATATCTGTCATTTTCTAAGTGTATAAGTCTGCACCAGAATTTAATGACACAATGCATGTAATCAGAACATAAGTTGGTTCTTCCAACTTCTCTTAGAACTAAATATTTGGGTGTAGTTTTGCCAAGACCCAAAAAGGCTTTCCAGAACTTTACCTGAACATTATCAATCACGTCCCAATTTTTATTTCCCCAAATTTCAGAGCCATAAAGCAGCATTGGTTTAATCTTTATATCAAAAATGTTTTTTGCTTTTTCGAAATTTAATTCTTGGTAAGAACCGAAAAGCCTTCTAAGATGCACATGATAAAACATGAAAACATTGTTTTATCTAAGAAAGAAAAAAAAACGCGATCTTGCTCCATGCCTATGATATAAAAAGACTTTCATGATAATATTAGTGGAGCTACACTGTTTTCGCTTGAGCCATGAAAAGGCTGTATCTGTTTTCATTTTTGTATTAAGATCAAAGCTCTCCCAGATATAGAGAAACCCCTTTAAAGACGCACCAGTTGATCTAGTGGTCAGACGAATGATGAACGAGAGCAAGAACTCAAACATGACCACGTTATGAGCCGGGCTGTCCAAGTGTGCAGATTCCAATTTTTAAAAATGGTGTTGCAAAGATAATTTCCAATGACCCCCCCCCCCTCTTCCACCACCCGCGTCTAAATACTATTTCTTTTCCTCGTCTTTTTAAGGCTCAATGTCTTGTGGAGCAAATTGCCAACCTCTCGTCTTTCCTGTTTTAATGGAGGAAGAGGGGCGGGGCGGGGGGACGGGCGGGGCTAACCGGCATACGTATAAACAAGAGCTAGAGAACCGTAATATGCCTGATAATAATTATTAATGTGATAACACATTGACATTACTGCCAAAGGTGGAGAAGGACACAAACATACCACCCAATTTGAAAACAATATCTACCACCTAACTGTTTAATTAGGAGCAACGGCAGCAGCAAAAAAACTAGCAACACTATTACGCAAAAAGGTTAGAATTTGAGTCGCACTATCAACGCAAGCCTTGCACTGAAAACTTTAAACGTTATACATACCATCTGAAGAATTCTTGACTGGCTTGATAAACAGAAATGCCAGGCACAAGGTAAAGAACCCAAAAGCCTCGAAATTCATTTTCGTTTAGTTTCGAGAAGGCACTTTGTTGATTACGTTGAAGTCCTGAAAATCAAGAACATTGTTGTTTATTATCAATGCTATGTTTGGTTCAGATGAAAAAAGAAGAAAAAAAATTGAAAACCAAACGTCATCGGGATGCTCTTCTGATCTTAAATGAGTAGGGTCTATGCTATACACATATGTTTTTCACTTCAAGAAATATGATGTTTCAAGAGAATCTGAAGCTATCGGGTTATGAGTATCCGGATACATTTGGAGATAAGGAAAAAAATCTCCTCTAACTTTATCTTTCGGAAAAGTTGTCAGTAGAGTGTTGGAGATTATTGTGAAAGTTCACAAAGAAAAATAAATTCTACCTCTTTATTAAGTCCACTTTCTATACATCAGATGAAACATAATTCCTTACCAGACGTGGTTGATTTCTACACGCCCCGCCTTTAGTCTACGGTTTTCCTCTACAGACGGGCGAGTAGACTGCCCAAAACAACGAAACGTTAATTCAAACCTAACAAAATTTCTCTTCAGAACTTTTCTACTTCGCCAAATCGCTCGCATTTATATATTCATGCTGGATGAATGGCGTGGCCAATAATTTCGTGTTTAGCTACTATTGGACGGATGGGGTACGTGCCGGGCACTAAAGGGTTAGATGACTGTGGGAAGAGGAGGGCGGTTAAAGTTTGCTAGGGGAGAGGGTGGGGGGTGTTCAATAATGGTGAACTCACAAGTCGGTGGACACAGGACGAGCGAGCTGCGGGCCTGTAGGCGGAGAGGCCCGGAGGCTCCCTGGAGGGATCCAGGCCCGGCGCACTCGTCGGACGTCACGTGGGCTGGAGGCTGAGTGTCAAACGTCACGACTATAGGCTCCAGACCGTGGGAGGATTTGGAGAAACCTTAGCCAAAACCTTCACTGCACTGACTGAGCTTCTTTAGATTGTTTTAAGATACAGATTGGCTAGTTCTTTCGTAATATTCTTAGAACGTCTGTCGTACATGATACACAAGGAATGGGGCAGGCCACAGGTCGAACAAATACTTAATATCTAATTATTTGCTCCTGCTCTAAAAAGGGACCATAATATAGGGGGGGGG